ACTTTGAAAGAATTATCAAGAAGTAACAGCCACATATTGAGAGATGAGTTTGAAAGACTCTGTCCTGAGCTCTGTAGATGGGGTAGAGGGGAGAAGAACACCCTGAAATCAGCATTCCTCTTTCCCCTCACACTCTGTACAGCAGGTTCCCAGGAGCGGCTCCAATATGGAGCAGTATGGCAGTGGAGGGGAAGAGAGAACTGAATTGCTACACCTGATCTGTACAACACTTGATAGCCTGCTGAGCCGCTCACCCAGCCACACAGCTTAGAAGGAACTTAGGCTCCAACTGTATCATAAAATTTCTTTATATTGTTTTTGTTGTATAAAGAGCACAAAACACTACCACCACATTACATGACAATTGGATGTGCAACATCTAAGACTACTATTATGTGTTAACACATGCACAGTTCAAGTATGTGTGTTTGTAAATGTGCACAAGTGATATGATGAAGACCCTGCAGCAGCAGCATTCATATGGAATTTGGTTCCATTCCACATTAATCTCATTAAATCATCCACTTAAAATGACAAGATTTTGTAAAAGATCTTGGACTTAGATCATGTCTAAAATGGAAGAAGCAGCAACAGCAGTCTAGCACTGATAAGAAATAAAAGATCCATAAGATACAACCAGATTTGCTCCAGTCCCACAGACAGAGACAAACACCTACAAGATCTTTATCAGGAATTCTTAAAATTTAAATAACCACCTGGGGAAGTGAAGAAACAGATTGAAAGAGCCAGGCAGGTACCCAGGAATCTACTTCAAGACAGGCTCAACAAGGAAAACAACACCACTGGTCATCACCTACTGCCCCCAGCTTAAACTCCTCCAGTGTATCATTGCCAATCTATAACCTATTCTGAAAAATGATTCCTCACTCACAAGCCTTGGGAGACAGGCCAATCCTCACCTACAGTCCAATCCCCTAACCTGAAGCAAATACTTTCCAGCAGCCACACATCAAACCTCAGATACACATACAGAGTTGAGGGGAAGGTTCCTGGGTATCCCATGGAGGTGGGCCAGGGGAGGCAGCCACAAAGCAGCCTCTGCCCTCAACGGGGCCTGGCTTGCCCTTGGCCTTGGCTTGCCATGGACAGAGGCTGCTTCGCGGCAGCAACCCGTCTGTGGGGGATCAGAGCTCCCTGTGGACAGGGGCTGCTTCATAGTAGCCTCCTACTTCTAACATCCCTACCATGTACACACAGATTCACTGTCACATGCATTGCCACACACTCTCCCATCTCTGTGCCACACACACTCAATCTGGGTCACAAAGTCTGTCTCACATGCAGTCTCCCTCTCTTTGGGTATGTCTACACTGCCACCCTACTCCAAACTAGGGTGGCTAATGTAGGCATTCGAAGTTGCAAATGAAGCAATATCCCGGGCTTCATTTGCATCTTGCCGGGCGCCACCATTTTTAAATCCCCCTGAGTGCGGACTCCGTGCCCGCGGCTACACGCGGCACAGAATAGGTAGTTCGAATTAGGTTCTCTAATTCGAACTACCATTACACCGCTTGGGGCAGCACATTTCTAGGGGTGGCATTCCAGCCATACTTGTGTGTACTGTGCCTCCCCCGTTCTGCCCCCCATCCAGTGTCACCTGCCAGCACCAGCCCCTTCCACACGCCCCCCCCCATGTGGGGAGGTCCCAGTGCCCAGGCAGGTGCCCCATAGCCCCGCCCTTCCACGGGCAGCGCGACCTGAGTCTCTTTCCTGCGGGGCCGGGACTTGCGTGTGCCCCCACTGTGCACGCTGATTGACCAGCCAGCACCACATCACAGACCTGGCAGGGTCCTGTGGGGTGAATAGGAGGGGGAAGGGCACGGGGCCCTGTGGAGGGTCGTGGTGCACGGGTGTCCATCTGGAGGAGGTGGCCAGGGAGCCCCAGTCCCTCCACCTCTCCCCACCCGGTCACCGTGCTTGGCCATGCAGGGCAGCAGCGTCTCCCCAGCTTCCGAAGGGGAAACTGAGGCAGCGGGGACACGATTTGCCCCAGGCCAGCCGGCGGCAGGGCCGGGGACAGAACCCAGGCATCTGGGCTCCAGCCTGGCGCTCTGGGTCATTCGGGGCAGTTCTGGTCTCAGGCCGAGCTCTTATCCCCGTGGTGGGCTGTGCTGGGCCAGATCCTGTGGCCCAGGTCCAGCGTGCTGAGCAGAACACCCCCTTCCTCTGCTCCAGGGGGCCTAAGCCGCGGCCACAGCTGCCCCTGCTCCAGGTCTGGGTCCAGCAAAAAGGGGGAAGGGGGGGCGCAAAAAAATTTTTGCTTTGGGCGGCAAAAAACCTAGAGCCGGCCCTGATCTGAAGATTAAAGGCGGCCTGATCCGGCCGTGGCTGAGTGGGTGGAGGCAATGTCAGCAAGTTAATGAAAGGCCACATCTGAGGGAAGTTCCTATATCTGCTTCACTGACAGACTAGATATTTGTAAATATGATGTAAGTGGGTCTTCTGCTAAGAGCCAGAGTATTTATTTCTTCCCAATAAAATTAGCTGTTCTCCCAGGTTAATAGGGTCTTCTGTGTGGATTTGCATGAGGGAAAGAAAACAACTATTAAAGTTGACTCAGGGTATTTAAATTTTATATTCCTAAATATAGTGGAATAGGAGTACAGTTCTAGGTGGAGACTTGAGTCAAATAATTTCCGATTGAAAGGGATCCTGAGATGTCATGTTGAACCCTTGTTATTGCTATTGTCTTCAGACAGAAGGGTTTTTTATAAATCCTTAAAGGGACGATTTTATCATTGTGGCTTCCTGCCTGCCAGTGGAAACACCTTATTCTGAAAATAGTATGTAGCTAAGTGGCTATAATTTCCAGCATAGCACCATTGGTGAGAAAAATTGCCACAGTGAAAGAATTCTTGAATTCCTTTTGTTTGCTTCAGGGTTCATACCATAGTGCCACGATTACAAATATATATTGTTGCAGAATCTGCTATGATGCTGCCACCACCATTACCTGAAAACAACATTTTTGGGTCTATCCCCTCTTTGCAATGCACACGGCACGCCAATTAATATTAGTAGGAATTACGTGCATGCATTGAGAAGGGAATATACACTGTTTTTCTACCATCAAATATAGGAACTTCTTTTAATGTTGCTCTTTCCAAAGACAGAATAAATCTTTGAGGTTTTACAATTCTTAGACTAACCCAATTAACTATTTCTCTGAATTAACTGCTTTTCTCAACTTTAATTCTTTGGTGTATACTGTTGCATTTATTACTGTATTTTAAATTGCTACTCTACCTCTAAGTGGAATGACAGTGTTAAATCTACATCAGGATGTTCTAGAGAAGGATAAGTAATTATGACCTGTAGCTATACTATCTTTTCTGTGATCCCATGAACTCTTGCAGGCATAGCAAAGTCACAGCATTCTGTAACTGAATGGGCGACTATCCAGGAAACCTACATGCTGCAGGAAGTCTGGTTGGAGATTTAGTAAGTAGCAGTCTTTCTTCAGGTCAACACAGAATCATTTCACGAGCATTTGCTCAATTAAGTGCACTGTGCTCCTCAAGTACTATTATAAGATGCAAAACAGGAATCAAAGTTATAAGCAGGAATTTTTAAAGGAACCTAGGAGTGCTAGACTCCTTGGAAAAATCAAAGCTGTAAGGTTTAAAAGAACTCAGGAGTCAAGTTAATAGAAAATATGCTTTTTCTCTTGATTAACTACATGAGCATTCAATCAGACTGCTATGAATAGTGGTCTGGCCAGACTCCAACTTTGTTAATTACATTTTTAATCCTTAAATCCCCCTTGCGGTCTTAGTTGGATAAGATACTCTTGACTTCCTATTACAGAAGTTGGCATTTGAATGGAGAATTAAGTGATCCTTAACTATAGTTGGTTGGATAGTTTGCAAAGTGGTTTGTGACCTTTCAAATGAAAGCTATGTAAAAGTGATATGATCATTAGTCTATTGTGTGATGGATGAAACTAGTAACTCATGTACCAGTTATGTTTCTCTCTATCCAATTTCTCTATATCAATGTCTAGAATGCTTCTGATGTTGTACCTCTCCACCTCTATAAAAATTTGATTTGAAAGTTATTCTAAATTTCATACCTACAAGAGAAACAAATTAAATGAAAGAATCAATAAAAAAAGTTAAATTTGTTAAACTCTTCTAGTTTACTCACACTATTTGCTAAAAAAAAGCTGTATTCAGCAAAGCTGTACAGAGAAAACTATGTTCCATTAGGAACCCCATATGACCTCTCGATCACCAGTTGACCAGCTTTAAAAAAGCAAGGCCACTTTTAACATATACTGCTTAGAACATTTGATTGGTGTATTGTACATTCAGATCTATTCAGCAGATAATATGATTTCCAAGGGAGATAAAAAGGCCAGGTGACTATCAATGTTACAAAAGGATAAAAATATTTTTGTCTTGATCCTTGAAAAGCTGTAGAAATAAAAAGAGACTGCAACCAAAATAAATGCAGTTTCCTTCATGGTATATGTGAAATGCTTTAGTCTATCTTATCTAGTATTGTCCTAGTGACTAGTACTATTCAGCAACTATTAATTATTAAGGTTAGCAGTCCAAAAAAATCCCAGCTTCTACTAAAATTATGAAAACTTGATGGAAGGTGGTTTGTTTGTGCTTCAGCACAGATTTTTTTTTACTGAAAAATGTTTTATATGTATTCTTATATATGCATGAAATGCTATTGGCAAGCTTCCAGCATTTGCATAATATATAGACTACACTCAGTTTAATTTCTGCAGAAATACATATTTTTTTGCTTTTGCTATAGCAGCATGAGAGAGAACAAACTACTAAAGGAAGTCACAATGTAACTATAAAAGCATCCTACCCCAGAAACTTTTCCACAGAGGTACATCAATAGTAGATCATTTGACTTTGACGTGTCAAATATACTGTGCAGGAGATTGGGAGCCAATGGAAATGGTGTTTAGCAGAGTGAGTTTCCTTCAACTTTAAAAAAAGAAAATATTGAGATAATCTGGTGTGACCACTCTGTATATCATAACATGGATTCTGGTTGATTTTAAGAAATTACTGCCTCATGGTTTGCCTCAGTGTATATGGACTCCTCAAACTGTTCTCTGGGCTGTGTCAGATTATGAGGAATCCTGTTAAGTAAAAACACTAGAAAGAATCAGTGGCTTGATAAGAACTGCAGCTGTGCAATTACTATGTTTTGTGATTTTTCCAGTTCTAGTAGATTTCCCATCTGTTTTAATTGAATATTACTGCTGCTTGCTAGGCCACCTTTTTCTTGCTGCACGAAATCAGGAGTTCCAGCACTTCAGTTCATGAAGGCAGATGGCAAAGACCCTGCACAGGAGTACTACTGTCAGAATTAATCAAAAGAGCAGGAATATACACGCTAATCACGCAAGGAAAGGAACCAAAACAATTGCTTGTGGAGTGGACAGTTAAAAAAAAAAGACACAGGATGAGGGAAAAGGAAATAAAGGCAGGAAAGGAAATAGCTTTATCCTAACACAAGACTGAAAGTTAGGGACTCGTGATTACCAATCCTAATACAAGTCACTTACCTTCTTGAATTGAGTTTTACTTATGTGCAGGACTCGACAAATTATGGAAAACCCTACTCACCAGACAAAAAAGGGACTTGCCACCCTCCCCCCCAAAAAAAGTGTTTTTTTTTTAATGGCATAAATTCCTAATAAGAATAGTAATGACTAATACATTCTTAATAAATATCACCCAAGTTATTAATAAATATCTTATAAACTTCTACCTTTTCCCTCTGCTGCCATGTCTCCTCCCCTTGCTCCATCAGCTCCCCTGGTGCCTGCTGCCCCCAATCCTTCACCGTCCTCTGCTGTCTTGACTCCTGCCCTTCTCGCTGCCCTCAGCCTTCCTGAGACCTGCCCCCCTCCACCAGCCCTTCTCTCCCCCGTGCCCACTCCTCCAGTAGCCTCATTCTGATCAAGTGAGCTACCCCTCTTCATCCCCCATGTGTTGAGGAGGCACAACTCCTGGACAAAACCTGATTGGAGGCCTGGTTGCTCCACACCATCCCACCCCCTCGCACACCCTACAGACAGAGCCCCTCATATGAGCTACCATAGCTTGAATTAAAAAACCATTTTAAACCATTTTAAAAGTTTTTCAAAATAAAAAATATGAAAATTAATATCTTTTTTTGCAGTGACATTATTCACCCCCTGCACTGGACTCAACCCACATATCTCCCTAGACTAGCTGTGCTAATAGGAAAAGGGGGAATAGGACAGGAGAACTTAGTCTCCAATTGCTCTGGGGGGCCCAGACTGATGGGGCTTACCTGTAACAAAAAGCAATCATGGGACAGGGTCTTTCCACTGGGTGTTTGTGCCACTTCCTGCCAGCCTGGTCCAGTACCCACAGGCTTCCAGGCCTCAGCATTTGAATAGTGGGTAGGGGCCTTCAAAAGCATAGGGAAGAGGTAGGGGCATGTCATGGAGGAGTCCATTTCTCTGAAGTGTGGTGTGATAGCTAAAAAACCGCAAGCCAGCCACCAAACCTTCCTCCATCACCACCACCACCCACTCAATATGAGCCTCCAGGGGAGGCCATGAAACCAGAGTTGAGCTGCTGAGGCTGCCTGGGTTCCTTTCTGCCTCCATTGCTGATGAATGAAGCAAGGGGGAGATAGCAGGGTGAAGGCAGCCCTGGGTCAGCAGAGAGGCAGACAAAGGAGAGGCACAAGGAGAAGGCAGCCCTCAGCCCACCAAATGGTAGAGGGGACAGGGAGAAGGCAGCCCTGCCACTGTCTCAGAACATCCCCCTAGATACACAGCAAATGCAGCTGCATAGGGGTACCTGAAAATTCGGTGCCCTAAATTTTCTGGTGCCCTACGCAGCTGTGTAAGTTGCATGCGCAGAGATGGCCTTGAGATAGGAACTGCAAAAGTACCTTGAATTAGCTCCATAAATATAGGGGAGACACTGTGGTGGCCAAGAAAAAAAATCCACCTTGCAGACTTGACTTAGCTAGGAATTAGATTGGTGTAGCTAAAGAACCTGACCCCAGCACAGAACCAGAAAGAAAAAACAGCAAAATATAATTCCCTTCCTGAGAAAGAGGCTGAACAGTGATCTAATGTCTAAGGCAATTTGCTTCTTCAATATCTAAAAGGCACAATTAAATATCATGTTTCAATGTAACAGAAACATGGAGAAATTAGTGTTTGATTTCCTCCCTAAAAGGCTGGCTCCTAATTAGTGTAAAAGGTGCTAAAATTCTTTTAAAAGGAGAAACCATTAGACAAATGTATAAAACATATTCCTTATATACAGGGATGAGGACACCTATGGACCATCTTAATCCCCTGCTAATACCTTTGTGGCCATGACAGAGTTATTTAATATCACTGACATTTCATTGGTTCAAATATACATTGGTCTCTGCGGGAGCCAATTTAGAATTTCTGGTGTAGGCATCTTGATCCAAAGAAAATGCATACTGGGGCCAAAATTGGTTCTGTGGGTTTAATTAGTGCTAACTATATCCCCTGTCCTATGAAGCACAAATGCTGAATCTTTTTGTGCTGCTTGTTCTAATGTTCAGAGAATAGACTCAGGTGCTATTTTGAAGTTAATACCCATTAATTATTTCAATTACATGGTTGCTAGTTTTTCCAGCCATGCTACTGTTAAGGTTAAGCCAAAACAGGCTAAAACCATGATAAACTACAAAAATGAGTGGGTATTGATTTTAGCCCTAGCCACAAGCAATCAGCCCAGATCTGCCTGGATTCAATTCTTCTCTTCCTGTCTCCAGCTTCCTATACCAGCCCCTCTACCATTTCTTTGTTCCTACCACCCTATGCCCTGATCTAGAAAAGTACTTAGGCCTCTAAGCTCCAGTTTCACTGTGATCCACAAAATTCTTGCCTAACACGGGAGGTTGTCTTCTTCTATGCATCCAGCTTCCTAGCTCTCACTTAAGTCCAAGAGTGATCCACCAATTGAAGATAGGCAGATAGACGCTTCACATGTGCAGCCCAGTCAGAGGTCACTTATTGAATCAAGTCCTGTTCTAATCTGACAGGAGGATAAGGAGGTGTGTACCACTGCCCATTTTATAACATTTAACCCAGCAGCTAGACGGCTTTCCTAGAATGCAAGAAGCCCAGGTTCAATCCCCCGCCCCTCCCCCCAGCTGGGAGGGGAAAAAAGACTTGAACTAAGTTCTTCCACCTCTCAGGAGAGTTTGCTGCCTAAGAGCTATGGGAAAGCATGATGTGAGGTGCTCTCACACTCAGTTTTTGAAACTGAGTTATTGGAGAAAGGAGATTGGTCTCTGGGTCTCCCACCTCTAAGGCAAGTGCCCTAACCACCAATCTACAGTATCATTTCTATTCCCTTGCTCTGGTCCAATGCCCATGTGACTAGGATAAATACATAAATAGTTACTGGACAAGGAGAGGGAGATATTTCAACAGCTAAATTTCTTAGGCCCAAGGCTCTTCTGCAGCCATACAGGCTCCTCTTTAATAGTGAATGGCACATGATTAAAAGAGTAGTTGCTAACATCAAAGCAATCTTAAATAATAAATTTGGGATCTCTTAGGTACATCCTAATTTTAGAACCACTGATGAGTAGTTATAGGAGTGAAATATGAGCTGGTTTACTGGGTGAGTTCTTGCTGTGAAATGTATACCTATCTCGGTGGATAGCACTGTTTGAATATGTAATTTGCTATTTGAAAACTCTGTGGCTGGATTGTAGGTACTGGTTTCTTTTTTCATAATTATGAGTTTTAAAGAAAAAACCAAACAGTTTCCTGCTTTTTTAATAAACTTAAAGGCAGAGCAGAATTTCCAGTGTCTTAAATTGTCAGTTGGTTGCTTCTCATTTGACTTTTTCTGTGATGGGTTGACTGCCCCGATGGGTCTGTTACCTGATCTGCTGAGACAGCCCTGTAATAGCAGGGATAAAGGAGAAGCAAGGCAAAACAGGGGATTGGGGCATGGCAAAATCATATCAGTACTGTAGCTATCTGTATAGAAAAGGAGAAGCAAGGCAAAACAGGGGATTGGGGCATGGCAAAATCATATCAGTACTGTAGCTATCTGTATAGAAATTCAAGAAGTATGGGGAATAAGCATGAAGAACAAACTCAGGGAGCTTGTAAGGTAAGGTCCCATGGGAAGCAAGACTAAAGGGAATAACAATTGAAAACAGAAAGAGACATCATTAAAGGCCCAACAGCAAACTATTCCATCACGTAGAAAAAATAGGAAGTATAGTAAAAGACCACCCTAGCTTAACTCCGCAGATCTCGAGTAAGTTACAAATTAAAAAAGGAATCCTATAAAAAATGGAAACTAGGTCAAAGTACAAAGAATGAATATAAACAAGTATGTAGGGGCAAAATTTGAAAAGTGAAGGCACAAAACAAACTCACTCTAGCTAGAAACAAAGACAGACAAGAAAACATAGGTGTTTATCTAACCTTCTCTTTTAAGTATCTATCTGGGATGATTTAGGTGGTGCTTGGTCCTGCCGTCCAGTCCCCTGCACTCACTTGATGACTTCAAGGTCCCTTCCAGTTCTAGTATTCTAATATGACATCACTAAGCCATCTTACCCTGTAATAGTCTGGGCACTCTGTAGTCCTGTCTTGCTGAGGTTGGCTCTCTACCCTATCCCAGCACCAGGACCATCCTTAGGCATATACAGAATATATAGCAATGTAGGGCACCACTAAAATTGGGACACAAATTAAGCAGTGCCCTATGCTGCATATGTGTAGTGCCAGTGCTGGCTCAAGCCACCCCCAATCACCCACTCCACTTCTTGGACCAATCCCCTGGCATCCACCCCATCTCCCAGCCCTGAAGGCCCAATCCCATGTTCCCTGCTATGCCTCTTGGCTCTGGTGGCCCAATACCCCAGCTCCCTACTCCACCTCCCAGCCCTGGTAGCCAAATCGCCCCCCAGTGCCTTGCTTTGATTGCCCTCCAGATCTGGTGGCCCTTATCCCCTGCTCCACTTACTGGCACCTGCAGCCCAAATCCCCCACCCCCTGCTCTGCTGCTCTGGCAGCTGCACTACTTCCACCTATTCCCCCACCAGCCTCCCTGCTTTGTTACTACCCCTACAGCTCCTGTCCCCACAGACCTGAGCACAGCCTTCCCTGCAGAGTTTTTGCCCTACTCACTGGTAGGGGGTGAGGGATATAGGTGCTCAGGATGTGTAGGGCACCAGATATAACAAGGACAGTCCTGCCCAGCACAGACACAGGGAAGGATCACCCCTCTCTGCTTGTAATGCAGATAGCAAACAATACAGTAAGGGACAAATCCTAAGCTTTTGTGAATCACCTCATCAGATGCATTAACAAACCAAAGGACTCCAGGAGAGCAGGCTGAATTTTAAAGAATCCTTATTGAAGGTGCAGGAACAAACCATCCCAATGTGTAATAAGAAAAGCAAATATGGTAGACGACCAGAGTGGCTTAACAGTGAAACCATTGGTGAGTTTAAAACACAAAGGACAGAGAAATTTGTCACAGAGAAATTAAGACATAAAACTTGTTATATAGTGCTTCTTTCCAAGTACATCTGCAATGTGGGGACATTCATAGGCAACTCTGTGCTCCTCACGGCTCATTTACCAGCCATTCACTTCAAATGGAGGTGAACCAACCAAATCCTTGTAGGTGCTCTTTGATTCTCTTTTGATTTGGCTCTGGTGTTCTGATCCTCTTGGTAACAAACTGCTCCATGACATAGCCAATTCTAAGAGGAATCAGTCACATCACAAACATGGTGGAATGGGGGTGGAGGATTTTGGCAACAAAAAACAGAGGCCTCAATACACAGCCCACCTACAGGTTTTTTTTCCAACCATGACATTGTGCCTGAGTCATTTTATTTATCCAGAAAGAAGGATAGAAAACAAATGAACAAACACCCTGTTTCACAGCCATCTGCTTGCACTATTTACTTCTCTGTTAATGAATGAACAGCTAACGCAGCTAAACCATATTCATGTTTTGTTAGTCTTTAAGGTGCTACAAGACCATTCATTGTTTTTTAAGTTTTTCTAGATACCGACTAACGCAGTTACCCCTCTGAACTAAAACAGAATTATTCTGACAGCAGCGTCAAAGGGCATTATCTGTTCTATATCAATAGTTGCTGCATGGATCCTTTCAAGGATTGTACTGTATTGTCAGGAGATGATATTTAATAGCTCACAACCATAGGCAGTATTAACTCTGAAATTTTTCCAAGGAAATCAGGATGAGGAAACATATCAAGTCAAGGAATAGAGGGTAGATAATGCAGCTTCCCAAATTACATCCATAGGCACCAACTTCCCCACTTCCTGGTCTAAAGCTCAGATTTTCTGAATAGAGAAGTGATTTGAGTCTTAAAAGCAAAAAAAGAGGTTGCATTTAATGCTTATAACACGATTAAGAGATTTACTTGTAAATTTTGGAAAAATTCATTCTGTACTCAGTAAATGCTGTAACTTTGGAGAGTAGAAATTATGCATAACAAAGGTCTAATTCCTATTTAGAGTGCAAATCTTACTGTGGAGCTGCTATTGCATTGCCATAATAAATCCTGAGGAATTATTAAAACCATGTTTCCAAAGGAATGAGAGCTAATATATCTTGCATAATAAGTGAGTGGGTACCTACCAGAAGAGTTGAGGTGAAAGCCATTCATTACAATTAAGAATAATCTTGCATTGACAGAAGAATGGCCCCTGTATAATGTAGCAAGCCTTTTAAAACACTGACTAGATTCTACCATTCTGATCAATAAGAATATCCTGGAATATTTGAAACTCATCTCTACTATTCATTCCTCGAGAGAGACAGTTGCAAAGGACCTACTAGCAAAATGCAACTTATGTAGCCATCTTCTCACCTTCTTCCACACACACACACACACACACACACACTCACTAAGAATGAACGGGGGCTTCACATTTTTACATTTTAGACAACATTCTGAAATTAAGCTTTTTATTCAACAGAGTTGCTTCCTGTATGCACTTAATTATCTGCTTTACTGTGTCCCTGCACTACTCTTACTTAGCTAAGTGAAAGTGAGAGGAGTTTATTCCTTCACTTGCATCATCATCAGCATTTGTTCAAAGTTCCTGTCAGTTACAGCTATAAAAACTCACCAAAAGCAATGGAACTGCAGGGTCTTTCGTGTGTATAATTTAAAGGCAATGAAACTTTAGAAAAGTGAAAGCTGAAGTTTCCCCCCAAAACCTTTGTTATTAGTGTTGGTGCAGGAAAAAGGAAGACCTGAGCCTTACTTTGAAAATCCCAGTTCCTTTTTGGCTTGACAGTGCTATTCTCTCTTAAAACTACAAACCAAACTTTCTACTTCTAAATTGAACACATTTAGGCCACATTCCTGCACAGAATTTCACATGTGCTTACATGGAAATCAGTAAAAACAACAAGGAGTCCTGTGGCACCTAAGGGCATTTCTACACTAGAGAGGATCAACCCTCCGAGGTCAATCTTTTAGCGTTCAATTTAGCGGGTCTAATGTAGACCTGTAAATCGAATGCTGAGGGCAGCCCCCGTCGGCATCCAGTATTCCTTATACCGTGAGGAGTAAGGTAAATCGACAGGATTGCATAATCCCATCAGCTTCCTGCAATGTGTGTGTCGCAGCATCTTGGCTTAACGTGAACTGAATCCAGCTACGCATTTTGCATAGCTGGAGCCATCTGCCTTAAGCCAAACTGCCTGGTCTACTCTAGACTAGGCCTTAGAAACTAGCAGATTTATTAGGGCATAAGCTTCTGTGGGTAAAACCCACTTCATCAGATGAATTGGAATGGAGATTACAGGGGCAGTGGTACATATATTATATTATTTAGGATCTTTATTCAGTCCTAAATCAGTGATACAAAAACATAGGATCTTGGAGTGTCAATTTTACAAAGACACATTGTGGAGCAGATCAATACTTTTGTGCAATAAAGGTTTGTTTTATGACTAAATTTTGTGTTAGTAAGAGGAGGCACTTAATTTAACAAAACGAACATAGTTTAACAATGCACTTGGCTGTCTAGCAGGAGTTACATATTCAGCAACACCTCTTTTTCAGTAAGTTTGATCCAGTATAGGTTGCAAACCAACTTTCAGTTTAACCTTAAAGTGAGTGGAAATTGTTTTCTGGATTGGGTATATATTGCTGTATACTGAATAAAGAAGCGTTTGAAGGAGTCCTCCAGAGGAGAAACAATCCTTTTTAGTCTGGAGTAAAAGACTAACTCACTTTCCTATAACAATTATGTTGAGTTCTCATACCAATAATGAAACTTTGGAATTAAGAATGGAATTGTGGTAAAGCAGCTTTTTGGGAAGTAGGAACTCAAGCGTAGTTAAGAGGCAAAGTAAAACCCTGTCAGGCAAAAAGTTTCATAATTTGAGATGAAGGAGGTCTCATATCTCCAGATGACAAGAAAGCAATTGCCTCCAGCATCTGATGAGTATTAAATTACTAGTTGTTCTTGGATACTTAAGGAATGGCTAAGGAATTCTGTAAGCAAGAATGACAAATTAATCAAGAAAATATGTGATGGCTCTATAAAGTCAGAAATGACTACATTTGGGGTAGATATAGTCTATTATGTGACAAGGATTTATACCTAACAGAACCACTTTAAAGCAGAAAATTCAATCCCTCCCTCCAGTTTGGTATGGTGTATGTATTTTATATTGCTATGAGACTTTCACACGTAAACAAAAGTTTAATTAAAACTCTGACAAGATTATTTCTATAATTTACTAAGAAAAGGTTCATATGTATTTATTTTAAAAGAGTTCACACACTAACATTGGTGAAAGCTTTACCCATCCTGCTTGATCTCCTGGATCATAGAACCATAGGGCCGGAAGAGACCTCAGGAGGTCACAAATCCATTCTCTGCCCCAAGTAGGACCAACCCCAACTAAATCATCCCAGATAGGACTTTGTCAACCGAGACTTAAAACCCCTAGGGATGGATGGAGATTCCACTACCTCCCTAGGTAACCCGTTCCAGTACTTCATCACCCTCCTAGGGAAATAGTTTTTCCTAATATCCAACCTAGACCTCCTCCACTGTAACTTGCTCCTTGTTCTGCCATCCCTCACTACTGAGAACAGCCTTTCTCCATCCTCTTTGGAACCTCCCTTCAGGAAATTGAAGGCTGCTATCAAATCCCCCCTCACTCTTCTTTTCTGCAGATTAAAACAAACCCAAATCCCTCAGTCTCTCCTCATAGATCATGTGCTCCAGCCCCCTAATCATTTTGGTTGCCCTCTGCTGGACCCTCTCCAATGTGTCCACATCCTTTCTATAGTGGGGGGAGGGAGGAGCCCAGAGCTGGACATAATACTCCAGATGTGGCCTCACCAGTGCCAAATAAAGTGGAATAATCACTTCTCTAGATCTGCTGGCAATGCTCCTCCTAATGCACGCTAATATGCCATTTGCCTTCTTGGCTGCAATGGCACACTGTTGACTCATATCACAGCTTCTCATCC